AAAACTCAAAAGAATTAAAACTTTTGTTTATAGATCATGAAAATGGTATACTGGACCATGAGCATGGGAGCTGAAACATTTTTGGAATCCAAAAACTAAAGAAGAGTCTCATGCAATGGAAGAACAAGGTTTCTCCAACTTCTAAAAGTTTCAGATGCAATCATCAATTGGAAAATTTATGGCCACATTTTTGGTTTTGTCAAGTTTTCTGCGTAGAGTAATAGAAAACAATTACTTGGAAAAATCTTTCGCTCTTCTCAAATTCGTCTGAATTTAAGGATTGGATAAGTCCTAAAGATAAGGTTTTGCAATCAAGGATGTGGTATTGAAGAGATTAAACTATCCACAATTTTGTTCATTGAACACATGAAGTATTGTAAATGAAGGATGGAAGAAGTAAACCATTTCTGGAATGTCCTTTTTAAATGATAAGTGGAAGAAGTGGATTAATGAAGATATATTGAAAGAAATAAAAGAGTTTTCAATCTATGTCGAGTTATATTCACTGAAATCTTATCTAGCCTTTGCATATTGTAAAGCATTGTGTGTTAAAGATCTGCTTGTATTAAGTGCTTAACAATATCTATTTTTTAAATAATTTTTTTCAGTATTTTTGCCAAAAGTTTTGAAAAGAGAATTCTTCTCACATTTTTTTTAACAAAATTATGCCATGCAGATGTTTGAGTTGTTTCATGAGAAAATGTCAGCACCTAATATCCTTGAAAACTCCACAGATGACATTAATGCAAGAGTGTTGGAATATATTGTTGCTTGGAGCTTTGCATAGAGGGTGTGAGAGAAAGAGAATATCTCCCACCATGATATTCTATGTCTGTTGCTAGTCAGCTCAGCATCTTGTAAACTCATAAGACTATTGATAAACTCAAGAATGTTTTTAGTGAACAAGAGGGCGAATGTCTGAGCCTGCGCTAACTTCGATCCAGGCGAGCGAAACGAGAAAACTTTGAAAGTAAATTGCATTAGAATGTGACGGGGACAAAGCGTATGAAGGCGAGAACTGAAGAACAAAAGGTCACATTAGGTTTTCTTTCCTCACCATGAGGGGTTGCCAGATACTGTTGAAATGTAAGATTGCTCTTCTTCCACTTCTGTATCTACCTGTAACATTTTAAGAAATTCACAACTTTGTGAGATCCTCAAAACAACAAAAGAAAATCCTAATAACACATTCTTCCAAAGTGGGTAACACCATTGGGTATAACAGTGAAACAATAGGTACTACAGTGTTCCATTGAGCAGAGGTAGCCTCAAGAAAAATTGAAAGGGTTCAATGAAAACAGAGGTAGAGCCACGACAAAATAGTTGTGCATATTCATCTCTTGTGTAATCTGCGGCAATTAAGTCACTCAAATATTTTGTATGTTGGGGTTCACAACATATTTCTGCTAGACCTGTCGACTTGATTCAAAGCCTGGAATGTGATTTGATCCTTCAATAAATATAAAGCATAAAAAAACATCCAGTTTCTGATATCATGCTTACATTTGGCAACTCATCTTTTGCTGCATAATTGAAACAGCATTCCAATACACTCCAAATGTCGTGGGCACACATTGGAAATGAGGGTGTGGGGATGCCTGCTAGTCAGCTGAATCTGTTTGCCTTGTTGTTACACAATTTCTCTGACCTAAAGCACCCCACTTAGTGAAGTCTATAAAAAGTGCCTCAAATAGTTTTTACAATCCTGATGTAAATTACGACTTTTTCAATTAATTTCCAACTGAAAATCCTCCCAAGCTCTTTTGATCAATGGAAAAAATTTGCAGTTTAATTCCGTTGAAATTTTTTGAATTAAAAAAAATATTATACAAAATTTAAAGAAATATAAAAAATCTGTTTAAATTGTTTGAAATTTTTTAAAATATTTTAATTTCAATTTTATACAAAATTTCAAAATCATTTTTTATTTGCCCTTTGAAAATAATTTTCTTTGTATCACTTTGTTAAACATTTTAGTTCTAAATTTTAAAAAAATATTTTCAAGAGAAAGTGTTAAAAATATTAAAGGTCTTTGTAGTTACAAAAAATTTTCCATGAACACAAAATTTAATTTAGATATGCAGTGAATTTAATAAGATAAGTGATGGAGTAGGTCAAAAAAGAAAAAAAAGAAAAGATTATTATCAAATATATAGTAATAATATATTTAATGAAGAAAGAGTGACATATATGTAGTCTAGTTATTGATAATAAGAGTAGTAAAAATGACATTTTATTTTGCAAGGAGGGAATGTTGTACCACAAGTTTGATAGGTAAAGTGGTGCTTCATATTCATGCAACAGCAATAGAAATTTCTTGAACAAAATTCATGTTTTTAATGCTTTTTAAAACTAAATTTTAAATTTGTTTTCTTCAAAAATGTATAATAAAGCAAATATTTTTAAAAATCAAAAAAATATTTAAAATTTTTCCAAGTACAGAGACTTTGGGAAATTAAACAAGAAGAAACTATTATTGTGGTGAAATTGAAGTTTAAGTGAATGGTATTGAGGAGTTTAAAATCTGTGAAAAGAATTTATTTTACTTCAGAATTACTCCACTCATCATATTACAATCTTACATATTTCTTACTCTTTGCTGGACCATGGAACTTCATTAAAGATTAAGAATGTTAATCATAAATAATTGGATGAAAATTAAAACAATATTACACTGTTATAGTTGGATCTCTGGGCAATTTGCCACACAAGGTAAATTCCATAATCATTGCAGTAATTAATTTATTTCTTTAATAAAATAAATGGGTAATACCCTTTACACAATACAAATACAAAAATAAAAAAGAATTAACAGAGAAAAGTTAATATGCATTTGAAGATGCATAATAATCAAAAATTTCTCAGAGGCAGAAAGTAGTACAAATATACGTGAAAATAAAAGTCAATACAAGCTTACAAATTTCACATAATCAGAACTAATTAAGATGTCTATTCAAAAAACCTTGAAAGATATTATTTTCAGTCGTCAAAATATCATTGTCAGCGCCCCACCTATTCCTCAAACCACAAACGCGATTCATTGTCTCACTAGTACAATAGTTATTCACAGAAGTGTCAACTAGAAAGGAAAGTGTTCTCCTAAAGATTCGCTTTGATACTCTAAACGGTATGCAAGAAAGAATGTCAGTGCAGTCTATTCTACCCAGCAAAATATCATGTAGGAAATAAATTTCAGCATGTTTTCTTCTATAATGAAGATTATTTAATTTAGATCTTAGGAGAATGGCATTATAGTCATGATTGTCTGGGATCATTGTCGGGCCAATTCTATGGGGAAAACTCCTTAGGAATTTGTATTTAACTCTTTCAATGGCTGATATACTTGATTTTGTATATGAGTTCCAAACAGGCGAAGCATATTCAAGAATTGGTCTAGCAACTGCTTAATGCAGATCTAAAAGGGTCAGCACAGCAGATTGAAAATTCACAGTTTCACAAGACCATAGCCCATATTTTCAGTGCCTTAGAAAAAACACCCTCAATACAACTCTGCAAAGTCAGCTTACCATCAAACATGACACCTAGGTCAAATCAATTCTGCTCAAAGTTTCATCTTCAATTTCATAATCTGCTATTATTTTACTCCTTTTTCTAGTAAATGACATAACAAAGCATTTCCCCATATTTAGCCTCATATCATTTTCCCTGCATTATGTCTGCAAATCGCAAAGATCTTGCTGGAGCAAAGCAGCATCATCATCATAAACAACCCTATTCAATTCCGCCTCATCTGCATAAAGCAGACATTGAACATACATCCTGGTAGGTCATTTATAAAAAGTTTGAACAGTAGGGGCCCAAGATGTGAACCATGCAGAACTTCACTAGCTACATTAAATATACCCAATGAATAGCCTTTAATACAAACAAGTTGCTTTGTGAATCTCAGGTAACTACCAATCGAATTTAGAAAAGCTTAAGCTTTTTAAATTTCTCTGTAAAGGTTTTGAAGCATCCAAAGAAATCTATGAAAATAATATTTCTGCAAGATACTATAAGAAATGAGGTAAAATGGAATGAAGTTCATGTTTGTTTGGGTTAAACTAAAAATTGGTTGGTACAAAACTGGTTTTAGGAATATTTAAATTCCAAAGATTTTCTTATAACATATTACTTTTAGCTATTGCAATTACAATTACTTACCAAAGCAGTTAAATCTGGAGATGAATGCCCTTCTGATACAGGTTGATGTGGAGATTGGATATCAGCAATATTTTGGACTTGGATCTGGAGCTCTATTTGAGCTCCTACTTCAGTATCAGTCTTCATTTGCACTTGTTTTGAAGCTTCATTCTGTTTATGAGACAGAGTATGTGGTTGATAGTGGGTGTGGCTATCAACCACTTGAGTTGAGATTTTAGTATGGGTAGAAAGCCAATGCTGACTTTCAGCTTGGGGCAGCACTTGGGTATGCACTTGCTGATGGAATTGAGTTTCAGGAGTACCCTGAGGCTGATGGAGCTGAAGATGAAGTTCTGATTGAGTTTGCACTTGCTCTTTGGATTGTATCTGCAGCTGAGGTTCAAGGTTTCTCTGCAACTCCTCTATTGTGGGGACACCATTTTGTGAATTTGAATTTGCATCTAGTAGTAGACCATCTAACTCAGCATTTATCTCTGAGGTTGCTTGCAGCAATCTTGTTTCTTCACTGTTATCTGCAAAGAAATTATTACACTCTCAAGCAAGACACTCTTTCCTCTAGCAACATGTTATCTAAAAATTAATAACATTTAAGTTTCCCTAGGAATAAATTAAATGTGTTTATGGCTGAAGATATAGGAGCAAACAAGTGAACTTGAAATGTTACAACAATGCAACTACAACTTTATTTATCATTGTATCTTTTACTTGAATACACTGAATGCTTGATTACACTGTTCATGAATACATTGAACTCAATGGCAGAAAGCTATTTTCTTCTAAACTTTAAAATTAAAAAAATAAAAGATAATAAAAAATAAAAAGAATTGAAGATTTTTTTCACAAAACCGCCCACTTTATTTTGTTAGGAATTTTTCAAGTGATGGCTGAAGAATGAGTAGGATAGAAATGGCAAAACCGTTACCGAAAATACGCAAAACTATGTCCTGTAGTAGCATCACTAGCATTTAAGTTTCTAACTCAAGCTCACTTTCTATTAGGACTGGTCTAACTATTGTATCTTGAGAATTTACAAAATTCATCCACTATGTCAAAAAAGAATGAAGATTGCCAAGGCATGTAGTTGCATGTGAAAGCTGATTTGCTTCTAATTACTCCCACAAAAACTGTTTTTCCTGAGAACTTTTCGATGTTTAAAAATCAACATCTTTTTATAACTCTGAACCCTGCAAATAGAGAAGTGATTCATGATTAGAACATTTTGTCATGAGGTTGATTTACTTATGCCATAATGATGTTACATTTAACAGAAAAATATTACCCCCCCCCCGTCCTCCCCCCAAAAAAACAAAAAAACAAGGTTTTGTAGTTACAGTCAGTTTTTGCAGGAATATTCAACTGGCATGTGGTAAGAAAAATGTAGGAGGGGGGGGGGATAATTTTTACTTTCTTACATACATATGTGCAGATAATATTCATAGATTAAAGAAAATTATGTCCCTTGATACCGAAAAAGTATTATTTTTTTTTCAAAGTGCCCATCCATTCATTTGTGAACATCTAGTATATAAGCTCTTTGTAGCATTTTTTTCAGAAATGAATATACCATGATTGATCTGGCCCAATGAAGCCATGCAATTTTGAAAAGAATTTTTTGAATTTTGTGGATATTTTACATGAAGCCTCTATGCCTTTTTCAAAATTTTCTCAAAAATGGCTCCAAATATTTTATTTAATTTTCTTGAGAGAATAGAGTGAAACACAGTTTACAGATGGTCTAAGTCTGACTTTCACTGTTAACTCTGAAAAGAAGAATATTACCAAGTTGTCATTTTTGGCTCCCCACATGACATGCTTTTTTCTGAATGTGGACTATGTGGACTTCTCAATATCAATTTACAATATCTTTGGGACATACCTATCTTCCCTCAATTACTGACATTTGTGATATTATCTTTTAGTTTAAAAAGCATGTGAGCTTTTAGACCTTTTGACCTCCCCTCTCAGGGTGCAGTATTCTTAATTTTTTTGGAGGGTTGGGATTCAAAAAACCAGATAATGCATCACTTTAAAGGGGCAGCTAGATAAAAGAAAGGTTAGAATGCCAGCTTACAACACTTACTACCAGAACAATTCTTGAGAGATCAATAAAAAAAAGACCATTAAAAGACTACTCAAAATACACGTCCATTATCAACCAAACACTGGTTCAAATATTCAAATATTCGAAGTCTTTACAGAGTTATTTAACTCTCTGATCCATCTAAAATGCTCCTTAAAAGATTGGCCCTCTTGCACACTGCTAAACACTCTGGAACAACCAACACGCTTGGAATAAGACAGCAATTTAAAAGGCTGCTTTCAAAGAAAACATCATCATCATCATCATCATCATCATGAACTGCATGATGAAAGGCCAGGGGGCAGGGGGGGGGGTCTGTTCCTGTTTAAGAAATAGACCTGAAATACTTGTTTTCCAGGTGTTCCTGCATGATCCTGCATCTTTCTTGATCTTCCTCTATCTCTCTGTGCAAGAGGCTTATATTTTAGGGCAGCCTTTGGAAATCTTTCTTCTTTCATTCTTTTAATATGATAAGACACTTTTTCTGGTAGTTTTTAACTTCCTCTGTTACATTTCTTGTCTTCAGTCTTTTCCTTGTCTTTATTTCTCCATCGATCCAATCTACTATAGCATAGGAGGTGTCTTAGGAACTTCCTTTGAGCTACTTCTAGTCTTTGGTTGTCTCTTTGCTTTAGGATCCAGGTTTCTGATCCATATAATAGCATCAGTTTGGATGTCATGTGTATTCTTAATTTGGTTTCTTCTGACTATGATTTTTTTTTTTTTTTTTTTTTTTTTTTTTTGATTCAGCCAAAATTATTTGGTCACCTGCAAACAGGACTGTTTATGTAGATTGTTTTCTGTAAAGTTGCATACCTTGATTACTGACTTCTTCCGTTCTTTGACGACAGTTGGCATAAATATTGTAAAGGTTAAGTGATCGGCCGCATCCCTGTCTCAGTCCTCTATATGAAGTGATTTTGTGATGGTCACAGAATTCATTTTTGACAATTATTGAGTCCATATCGAGTGTTTTTATTCCTTTGATAATTTCTTCTGATATTCCTTCTTTTTAATATTTTTCCACAGTTTAACTCTATTTATCGTATCATAAGCATTTTCAGCCTAAGAATATGATATATGTTGGTCAGTTTCTTTTATTTATTTCTAATATAGTTTGTATTGTAAATATAGCATCCTTTGTGCTCCTGCTGTTTCTGAATCCACACTGTTCTTCACCCATGAAGTTTTCACTGGATCATTCCTTCTATTCCTTAATATGTCAGCAAATAATTTTGAGGTGGTTGGCAGTAGCGTTATCCCTCTATAGTTGCAATTTATTTTGGTTCCTTTCTTATGTATATTTATTACCAAACCTGTTCGCTAATCTGTTGGGGTAAGATTCTCTGTCTGTATTTTGATAAATGTTCAATCAAAATAACTTTTATTTCTTTCCTTTTATATTGATAAGTTCTATGTTAATTTCATTTATTCCAGGGCTTTTTTTGTTTTTAGCTTTTTTAAATACTTGTTTAAGTTCTTTAATTGCTATTTCCTCTATTGGTTGATTTTCAAGATCTGAGGTCTTGTATTTGATATGTGGTTATCCTTGTGCTACAATTTTGTATAGGGTTGTTTCTCTCTCTCTCTCTCTCTCTCTCGTTCTCTCTCTCTCTCTCTCG